AATCTCAGGGGAATTCGTTTTGGAGACATTAAGAAGATGAAAGACGCCGTGACAAGAGGCATAGACACGTTTTCTTTGGATGACTTCCATGGGGACTTCACGATGTGGCTGGAACGCTATAGGTGCGTTGAAGTCAGAGAATCTTTACTTTGAATGAGATTTTGTACCTCTTTGAAATTAATAAATATATTTTCTGAAAAATTTCATAACTTCTGGAACACACCTCATACAATGACGACGACAAATCATTTCAGATTCCTACCGGTATACTTACGACAATAACTCTAATCCTATTCGGTCACAAATCATTAACTGAACAGGAATCTCACCAGTAAGACCCGTTATAACTTCTCCAGCCAATTACAACAGTTGGCGTGCGATCGGGCCGCTTGGCAACGTGTGGACCTGGACATTGTTCAAAACACAGCAGTAAAGTTGGTCCAGCAGAAATTGGAACGATGTCGAAAACAAAATTATTTCTCTGCTATTATCCAGCAGCATTACTGATGCTCGTCTCGCAGAGAACTATATCATTCAGGCATTGGTCTGATCGAACACGCAAGAATCTAACGACCACAGCGGGAACCGGAAGACATTATTAGGAAAAAAAAACTGTCTATAACGATGATGACCATCATATCTCTCCTGTGAATAAATAATCTTGAATAAATATTATTTTGAGCAGCTTATCTCAAACGGTGCGGTCTAGTTCGCCAAGGAATATAGACACGTGTGCCACAAGTTAACAGAGGTGTAATTTCATAATTTTTTATGTTTAAAAAAATCTTTATTTTTAAAAAGTTATAGACACCAATTGTTGTTCGTAATTACGGTCGTCTTGAGTAGAGAATCTAGAGGTTAGCAGTGAATAGGAAAGCGTTGTTCACGTTAGCAGTGGATATTTTGATAGAAGGTAGCAGAGCATAGTTCGTCCTTCTGGTTCTCTTCGCCTGACAAGCTGGACTGGACATTCGGGTAGAGTGAACAAAAATGGCCGCCTTTATACACGACGGATTGAATATTCTACGTCTTCTGATTGGTTAACCTTCTATTGGTGGACTATAAAGTGGGTCAAGTCATTTGAGCTAACTCACTTGTTACATAGATATACACAAAAAACTGCAACACCAATCACATATGTCAAGTCATTGATAATTTAAACTGGGTACTAAATTCCTTAACAGAAGAAGGGATCTACTGGTCGTGGCTTACAAATCAAGCATAAAGATGTGTCGATTGATTAATTTTGGATGTTCATTCAAGAATATACTTCAATAGCAAGTAAAGCATTGGATATTTTATTGAAATTTTCCTATTCATTCCTCTGTGAATTGTGATTTCAACACTTACAAACATCAAATTAAAAAGCAGATCAAATATTAAATATATTGATGAAGAAATGAGACTGTTTTTCACATATAAGACCTAACATTAATTAATCAAATTGTTAAAACATACCAAGCATTTGTTTCACACAGGTATAGTTAAATATACAATGCAATTTCTTAAAAATAAATCCTTATTTCAATATACTTCTTTATTGTTTTCCTATTTTCAAATTTTATATTTATTTTTCCTTATTGGAATTTAAAGTGCGTCCCGTAGCTGTAGTTGTAGCAACAAGTGCGCCCTGAAGTAAAAGAAAAGGTCGAGTACCACTGGTTGAGACAGAAAACTTTCGCTGATACAAATTTGATTAAAAACGACAGATAAGTACATTTCTTAAATTATTTAATTACTTTGCTTACATTTCTAAATTTTACTTATTATAAAACCCAGGTTGTGTGTGTGTGTGTGTGTGTGTGTGTGTGTGTGTGTGTGTGTGTCTGTTCGTTTATATATTGGATCGGATTTCCTACATTTTTCAACCGATTTCAACAAAACTTCACAGTACTACATAAAATTACCTTGCGGTGGTTCTGACAGCGCCAAAAATTGAAAAAACACAATTGTTTTTGCCCGAAATCAATTTGAAAACACGATTAAGAGGCATCACTGTCGCCAGAATGAAAGGGGGACAACTCATATCGAGTTATACTTATAAAACACAGGTTGTTTGTGTGTGTGTGTGTGTGTGTGTGTGTGTGTGTGTGTGTGTGTGTGTGTGTGTGTGTTCGTTTATATATGGGATCGGATTTCCTACATTTTTCAACCGATTTCAACAAAACTTCACTTTTTTTTGCAGGTAGTGTTTCTTATTGTCTTGCACACTTTTTTCTTTATTTTTACATTCAGAATGCTTTAAAAATTCCATTTACAAGACAATTGTTTATAATAAAATTCTATTCAATCGGGAGACTCATAACGATTGAAAACAATGTTTTTGTTTGAGTTTGGGTTTGACCAACTGGTAAAACAAACAAAAAAAAAAAAACTAATTAAGACATGCGTGTCCGTCAACCTTAAACAATAATCTTTGTCAATTTTATTTTTCAGTCTTTATGATGGTCGATACTTGATCTATCTCTTACTGTTACATCCCCGGGCAACGCCGGGCTCTACTGCTAGTATAATATAAATATTGCTCAAATGTTTATGGTTTAATCCTTTCGTCTATATTTTCTAGCCATTATTAAAATAAAAAAATGTTATTCAAAAAGTTGTGAAAATTTGAATAAATTAATATCTTCAGTTTTAACCAGATCTTAAAAGTGTCTAGAGCCCTTGATGAAATTTTTCATCCACATTTATATTTCGATGGATTCGACAAAGGCTTTCTTGAAGGTAAGAAGGAAATATTAAAATAAGATGAGAACAGAATTCCAATCTGGAAATATCTCAATAAACTAATATTTTCTATTAAATTATCGAAATTGTTTAATTCTTTTTCATAGTATAAAATGATTTTTTCTATTCTTAGATTGAGAATAAGCAGAATAGGTTCCTAGAGATTACTTCTCTTTATCGAACCAGTTCCTGGGAATCTGCGATCTTAATATTGGATATACTCCAAGTTCAAAATATATCCACTTTTTTTCTCCTGTAATTAAATGTATATAAATATATCCACAAATGATAGTTAAGATGTTATGGTATCACGCGTACAAGAAGTATTATTTTGTGTGTATTCTTCAGCTCTCAATTTTATTCCAATTGTTCGGTTTGCACATTGCGAGGCCTTACTTTCAGGATGTGGAAAAACACTTCAAATATCTCCGTGTATGGATCAGTTATAACAAATTTCGTATAGAAAATAAGGAAATTGAACATAACAGAAGCTGCAGTTTCACCCCAAACAGCAAATTGCTATGAATTAATCTACAAAAATAAACTAAGAACACGTTATGTATAAAACCCTGTTTAAAATTGTAGAAAAAAATCGATAGATTGAATTAATGTCACTACATTTTCAATTCTTTGCAAAAATAAGCTCGCACGATGTATTAACCAATCATCAACGTTGTCTCAAACGCTATTAAATCTTTCAAAAAACAGGCGAAGATTCTTGTCGTTTTCAAGAAAAATTGAAGGATTACACCCAGAAAATGATTAACAATTTTTCCCTCCTAAAAGTCGACATCAAAATTTGTGAAATATATTCATTAACCAATAAAACTTTCGAGTTTAGCAAATTTAACATTTAACTTTCTGTCATGCGATATTTTAAATAAATACTGTGACAAGTTAATAAATTAGTCTTCGGTATAGTTCGACCAGGGGATTGTAATCGATACTGAATTTTAAAATTTTTGCTTATTCAAAATAACTTATTGAGATCCGTTTTTTGAAAATTAATTCTCGTTTTAAAAGTATTTTCATAAATCATTTCTCACAGCTTATGAAAAATAACCGAGCGAATTATATAAACAAGCGTAATTGTAGCAGCAGTAGTAATCATCGGCTGCTGATGAAATTAAATCATACACATACATAATATAACGTAAATGCTGAACGTTCACATTAAGAATTTACATAAATTTCATCATATACCAATACAATTAATTCCTTTTGTGTTGTAAGAAGAAAAACAAAACATTTTCGTATGAAGTTTGTTTGTGAGGAAGTTTAAAATTTGCTTCTTTTAACTTAAAAGAAAACAAAATTTATTTTTATACTCGTGAATAAAATTCTTTGAAGATTACTTCTTTGACTTTCACACGATTTTTCATCTAAAATGTTCATGTGGATGTCATACATAACTCCATATTCATTCAGGAATGTCTAAACTGTTGGCTGAATTCAACCACTTTCTCAGATAAATTGTTAAAAATGGATCTGAACCAATGAAGTATGTAATTCTTAGCGAGAAAAATTCTTCTTCGAAACTCGTTGCCTTGTAATACAGAATCAAAAAGCAGTTACCAAATAACAAAGGACTTTCCACAATAGCAACAACTAAAAAAATAACAACTAAAAGAATAACACGTTTAAATCGAAGAGAAAATAATGACATAATCAAGATGCTGACATTCCACTCAACTTGGAACAAAATGTTAGGAAGGAAACCCCATCAATAATAAAAAGGTATATAATTTAATCGACTTGATAAACATATTCTTCTGGAAAATTGTTTGAATAGAAATTATTTATTTACAGCCGACAAGTAGCAAAGAATCTTGAACCGAGAATAACAATGGCTACTAAATGTTTCCTTACAAGGAAATGGCTATTATTACCATTACTATTGATTTTCGACAAAATGATTGAAGAGTGGTCATTTTTGTGATTGACCGTTGTTTTTGTGTCTGCGTTAGACACGCCATAATTTAATATTGATTCTCTGAAAATATGATATGCACATTGTTTTGGCTGGGGTCTGGAGACTTATGGAAAGAAACAGTTGTCGAAGTTAATAGTAAGAAAAAAAAAACTCGCATTTGGGAGTGATTAAATAAGACTATTTAATTCCTTTATGTATTAGACAAATCCCCAACATACCCGAGTATTGTTCTGGACGACGCTAAAATATTCCCCGGATTATTCTGGAAGGTTGTTAATCTTGGCTGTTACATCGTAATTTGAACTCGGCTCTATGATGCCACTTTAAATGCTGATAACAGTTACGATAGATAGATAGATAGATAGATAGATAGATAGATAGATAGATAGATTTGAACGAGTGAAATAGACAATCGACATAGATTTGAAGAGACGGCAGATACATAGATAGATAGAGAGAGAGAGAGAGAGATAGAGAGATAGAGGGAGAAATGAACAGAGAGAGATTGATAGAGACAGATAGATATGAACATACTGACATAGATAGATAGATAGATAGATAGATAGATAGATAGATAGATAGATAGATAGATATGATCATACTGACATAGATAGATAGATAGATAGATAGATAGATAGATAGATAGATAGATATGATCATACTGACATAGATAGATAGATAGATAGATAGATAGATAGATAGATATGATCATACTGACATAGATAGATAGATAGATAGATAGATAGATAGATAGATAGATAGATAGATGAATGATGATAGATAGATAGATGATAGATAGATAGATGGATAGATGATATAGATAGATAGATAGATAGATGATATGATCATACTGACATAGATAGATAGATAGACAGATAGATAGATGATAGATCATACTGATAGATATAGATAGATAGATGGAATAGATATGGATAGATAGATAGATAGATAGATCATAGATAGATATAGATAGATAGACAGACAGATAGATGAATAGATAGATTGATAGATAGATGATATGATGGATGAATGAATATGATCATACTGACATAGATAGATAGATAGGTAACTAGATCGATAGATTTGAACGAGTGAAATAGATAATCGACATAGATTTGAAGAGACAGAGATAGATCGATAGATAGATAAATAGACAGATAATGAATAGACAGAAATAAATAGATATAGAGAGAGACATTGAGAGATAGATATGAACATACTGAAATAGATAGATAGATAGATAGATAGATAGATTTGGACGAGTGAAACAGATAATCGACATAGATTTGAAGAGACGAAGATAGATAGATATTAGGTTGGTGCAAAAATAATGACGTAATAATGTCGTTTTTTGACGTATTTTTTAACGTCAAAAACGACACTCTTACGTCATTATTTTTGCACCAACCTAATAGATAGATAGATAGATAGATAGATAGATAGATAGATAGATAGATAGATAAAATTGCCAGAACCGATGTAATTTTCAAGAAACCCAAAATCAAAATTAAAGCGTCTTTCATCTGATTTCCTTTATGCACGGAATCAGAACTGGTTAATGTGTCAAACCCACACTTGTGCTAATACCAATAATCTCAAACTATTCCTGTTTAAAAACTTCTACGTAAAGCATTTATTTGGAACTCCACATCTACAACAATGAGACAGTGTCGTATTAAAAAGACATCTAACGGTGACTCAGTTCACGTCTCCAGTGATCTGCCACTCTTACTAAAGAGAGTATCATTTAATTTCGTAAAACTGTACTCGCAATCAGCCTCACTCAAAAAAGTTTCACATTGTCTTTCATTAACAAAGATTTGTGATAATGTGTCTTTTGGCAAAAGGCTTAAATTAAATCTTTGTCATTTTCCAAAAGCACAAAATGCAAGACTATATCTGAGTGCCGATATGCGAAATAAAGGCGACCGATAAGTCTGTAATAAAAGGAATTTAATGGCGAACCATTGCGTTATTTGCTATTAAGATAAAATCTTCAATTAATATAAGTCTTTTGCACTTAGATGTGTACGAAACATGTGTCTGGAAGTGAAGTAATTTTACAATTGAAAGACTGAAGCGGAAGTCTGCTTAAGTTAATCGATTATGAAAGCGAGCAGCTAGTGATCAGAGCGGAGGACAGATGAATGTGGTACAATTTGATACAAATCAAAATTCGATGTCGGTTGATAGACGTTCTTTCTGATTCGCCTTGATTCTGATTAGAAGAATTGATACTGAACAGTATTTTATCGAATATCTCATTTCCTAAAAGAAATACTAATTCAAAAGCCAACATACATGACTAAGAAATTGTTATAATCTTCGTATCAATTTGCATTTCGTCCTGGGTATCTCGATAAACTGCATCCGGCAGCAAACATGCTCACCGGGTGGGTTTTTAGGAACGTGGCACCACATCTTAATTGCTGTTGTTCTCAGATCCACCCTGGCCCGGTGTGATAGCATCTGTTAGGGCCCCAACTATGCACAAAAAGTTTACCCAGAAACTAGGGTCAAAATAATTGAAAGTATATAAATAGATTCTTATATTAAAAATACCAAAAATACAATTTGAAAAAAATGCCAGCAAAAGATTTTTAAAAAAAATATGTCAAAGAAATCTGAACTACACGCTGATTTCTTATAAAGAATACATATTCTTTTCATAGGAACATATCCTAAAATCTTGTCTATATTAAATAACCCATTAACCATTGATATGCCGTAAACCAAAATAAACCAAACCTGATCTAGAAACTGATTTTTAAAAAAAGAATACATATTCGATTCATACGAAACTATCATTAAAAAAAAAAACAAACTCTGCGACATTAAATAACTAATTGATGTTAATATGCCGTAAAACAAAATAAACCAATCCTGATCTACAAACTGATTTCTTAAAATGAATACATATACTATTCATATGAAGTTATCATAAAAAACCTTGTCGATATTAAATGACCCATTGATGTTGATATGCCGAAAAACAAAATAAAACACGCCTGATCTTGAAGCTGATTTCTTAAAAAAAAAATAAAAAACACTTATCAATATTAAAAAGCCCATTGAGTTTGATAAGCCGTAAAACAAAATAAACCAGACTATAAGTCCGACTTTCAGGTTAATAATAATGCACATGAAACACTGGCATATAAGATTGCGCAAGAACTGTTTAATCTCGCGGATTAATATTACAATACACATGAATTTCTGTGTACTGCACTCTTTGCGATTACTGGGCAAATTCTGTATGTCCCGCTTTCGTAAATGGAAGAAACCATGTTAAACACTTTAGGGTAGTGAAGTTCGGTCGCCTTTCTGCTCAACAAACGGAAAGAAAGGACATTAAAACAGACATGGAGAGAAAAATAGATATATACGCATAAAAATAACACCATCTAATATATAAAAAAAGGAAAATCCAAACATGAACATATATAAAAATATATTTCATATATACCTATATATGCACTAGTGCACATACACGAGTACACAGTAGGAGAAAGAAAATAAAAATATATATAGACATATGTGTAGACAAATTCTTCACTACAGACAGAAACACAGAAAAGCCTACATACAGACATACACACACATATTTATATATATACACATATATATATATATATATATATATATATATATATATATATATATATATATATATATACATACATACATACATATACACATACGTATATGCGTATATATACACACAGAAGCAAGCATACATATATCAATCTACACAGCAACATAAAAAAGTAAACAAACCAAATGTTTTTTTTATCACCTAATGTTATATTTTTGTACTCGTGTATGTCCACAAGTGCATATATAAGTATATATGAAATACATTTATATATATATATATATATATATATATATATATATATATATTTGTGTGTTTGGAGTTTTCATTTTCATATATTAGATGGTGTTATTTTTATGCGTATATATCTATTTTTCTGTCCATGTCTATCTGTTTTAATGTCCTTTCTTTCCCAAATGTTTGCTTTTCTGTTCTGCCCATGTTGAATTTTAACTATTCTACCATTTTTATCTATGTATCTTTGCCCGTATAATTTATATTTTAATAAGAGGTTAGAATTTGTTTAATAACACTTTCAAACTTGAATATTTCTTGGTGGGTCTTTGTCAATGTATGTCTGTGTATGTACGTGTCTTTTTCGCGGTGTCTGTGTGTATGGTCACTTGTGTGTACCTTTCATTGTATATGTATGTTGTCGTTATTTTTTTTTAAGGGGTCAAGAAGATATTTCCTGTCTCTTCGCTTCTTTGTGTGTATATATATATATATATATATATATATATATATATATATATATATATATATATATATATGTTTATGTATTATAATCTGATTGTGTATGTCTTGTCTTTTGCAAGATGTCGTCGTCCCCTGCCTCTGTTTATGCTTCAAATATATCTATATTGTCATGAAGTTCAGAGTAATATTTGATCTTAAAGTTTATTCCAACTTAGTTTCAATAAAAAAAATAAATAGAATAACATATGTATTTTTCTTTTTTCCTCAGTAATTTTATAAGTTTAAACTTAATATAGATTAAATTTAATTTCAAAATAGCTAATTTTTAATTCCAAATGTTATCGTATTATTTAATATTTATTAGTTAGAATAAATTCTATTTTAATCTAATCCCAACATTAAAGCATTAAATAATTATTATAACCCAATAAGTCCGTTGTAAAGTTGTTTGAATTCTCATATACTTGTATTTTTATTGGTTATTGCAGCTTATGTAACAGAGTTTCCCGTAGCGAGAGATGTTTGATTGATTTGAACCTTTTAAAAGCCTTTATTCTACATTCAACACCATCACTTGATAAGACACCAGAAGTGTTGAAACAAAATGGCTATTTTTGTAGTGATTTTATAACATATTTAAGTTATAATTTTCGAATAAATAATTATATATATATATATATATATATATATATATATATATATATATATATATAAATGATGTGTTTGATAATCCATATGGATAATTCCAAGGAGGATATAATCCAGAGAGCTCAATGTAAAAACAGAGCGAATATTAATTATTATTAAGAAACAGACAACTTTAAGGTTACGCGATTATAATTTTATATAACGAAATTTGATTCTAATTCCTCAGATCGACATTTTCATACAAATGAATGGGTAACAAATATTGAAGGCATAAGAAGAATTATGTAATATCATTTTTAATTTATGTACACATGTGCACGAAGAGGCAGGATTAAATTGGTAGCAGAAGTGATTGCTATATATCTCTCGGAGGGGTAAGGTGATTGAGAGAGTGGAAGACAAAAGACAGGAAAACAAAATTAGGAAAGGGAAAAAAAGAAGGTAAAAAAGAAAAGAGATAAATTTATTCACATCCATCTTTAAAAAAAAAAAGAGACGTATAATAATCATACTGGTGGTGTAGGGTTTTGTTAGACATGCTGACCTATTTATCAAGTATATCCACAGAAAAGTGGAAGAGGAGCCAAGGACTAAAAGTGAAGACGGAATGAAGAAAAATATATAGAGAAATAGGCTGGGAAAAAAGAAAAAGGAAAACATACATGCGAGACACAGACAACAAAAATGGCTAGGATCAGATTATGACACTTTGATATTAATATTTTAAAATAATAATAATATAGAAACTCAAAGTTAAAAAAACCCAGTAACAATGAAAGAATTGGCGTGAAGTATTTTTTAAAAAAACAGATGTAAGAAAATCTTTTCAAAAATTTTGTTTGCCTGTCTTTTGTCTTCAACTCTGTCAATCAACTTGTCCCTTTCGATATATATATATATATATATATATATATATATATATATATATGAAGAAATATAGTCTTAAGATGTGGTATATTTATGGGATAAAGTGCTCAATATCAGAGATAAAGCGAGTGTAAATATAAAAAGTAAACAAAAGAAGTCAACACTTAGAGGCGACAGTCTGTTTCATGAGATTCAATCTTCAGGCCTGACGATTGCATCTGGCATGAAACAGACTGTCACCTCTAAGTGTTGAGGTGTTCAGGTTCACTTTTATATATATATATATATATATATATATATATATATATATATATATATATATATATATATATATCTTTTAACCGCTCCTGGCACCAATTGAACCTGCCTCCTCAAACACATGTGTGCATAAATGTAAAATGATATTATATAATCGTTCTTATATCTGGAATATTTGTCAGCTATTTATTTGTATGAAAATATTGAGCTGATGAATTAGATTCGAAATTCGATTTTAGTGAAATAAATTATAATCATGAAACCTTGAAAGTGTCTGTTTCTTAATAATAATAATAATAATAATAATAATAATATATATATATATATATATATATATATATATATATATATATATTGCATGAAAGTTATTTTTAATGGCTAGTAATATTTGACTAGTAAACAGTATATTTCTTTATTTCCGTGAACCGACTTGAATATTCGAGAAATGCGTCGCCC